AGACCCTAAACCCTACACCCAATGCCGCTGTGAGTCCGTGTAGACAAAAAACCTTGTGGTCACATGCGCGGCAAGCTCGCAGAGCGCCTTGGGAATCAGAGCCAGGCTTTTCGGGCTTGGCGTTTAGCGCTTCGGGGCTGTAGGGTTTAGGGTGCCTTTATAGGGCCATAGGGATCTATAAGGGTTCTATAAGGGGATCTATACGGGGTTCAGGGTTTAAGATTTAGTGGTTTAGGGTTTCGGGCTTTAGGGTTTAGGGTCTCTAAACCCTAAATCCAACAAATCTGCCCGCTAATGGATCAAATGGGACTTTCCAAAGGAGGAACCTGGGAAATGTAAGTCATTCGGGCTACGGGTAAACCCCGTATAATGTAATACCTCCCAGGTTTGTACCTACAGTACCCATGAGGCTTCACACCTATACAACATTGCACACAACTTCCAGCCAAACTGTAAAGCCAAAAATACAATTGATCATATACATCCTGCATTACCCATCATAAGGAATGATAGACCATACTTCCCATAGTTTAGGGCCCTTAGGGTGATGCAGGATTTATATCATCAACAGTAGTAGCCCTAACCCTAAACCCTAAACCCTAAACCCTAAACCCTAAACCCTAAACCCTAAGCCCTAAACCCTAAACCCTAAACCCTAAACCCTAAGCCCTAAGTTGCAACTTTCAAAAAACACACGAGACCCCAGGATCCCTACCAGAATCCCCCGACAAATTCCGCCTTTAAGCTCGAGACTTCCGACGTGATATCGGGGCCCTAGTAATTAGAATAGGTTTAGGGTTTAGGGTTTAGGGTTTAGGGTTTAGGGTTTAGGGTTTAGGGTTTAGGGTTTAGGGCTCAGGGTGTAGGGTTTAGGGTTTAGGGTTTTGGGGTCCATTACACTGTAGCTATAATAATAAGGAACCCCCCAAAATAGTATAGGTAATTAAGAAGGTCCCTACATTGGCGCTGAGAGATAAGAGCCCCCTCAACCCTTACCCCCTTATGCTGTAGCATTTAATATTATGGTTTAGGGCTTAGGGAAAGCCCAAAGCTTGGGTTTTTGGAGTTTCGGCTCCGGAAATCGTCGCCGTAAAACCCGAACCCCTTCTTGGAGGTTCATGGGCAGTTATAAGCCGGGGGTTATAAGTAGGGTAGCCATAAGTATAAACCATATATCAGGGGACTTATAACTCCACTTGTAACTGCACATGAGCCTCCAAGTTCAAGACAAACGGTTTAGGGGTTTAGGGTTTAGGGTTTAGGGTTTAGGGTCTAAGATCCCCCCCAAACCCTCAAAGCCACCCCCAGGCACAAACGCCTCCATCTTCGGGTTTTGGGTTTGGAATTGGAGAAATCCTGAACTCGGCGGCCTCTGCAGAGCTGAAAACCCTCCACGATCTCCTTCATACCTACGAAACCTGTATAAGACCCTGGTAGATTTTTTGTTTATGAGTTTCTTATGAAGATATCAATGGAACCCTGACAAACACAACCCCGAGTGCAATCAAGCCGTGTCAAGACGCTGATTATAACTGTAGCAAAAGAGAATAGAATAGTACAGAATGGAATAGAATTGGAATGGAATAAAGGATCACATAAGACAACTTGATGTTAGATATAACAGAGTTTGACAGCACAGCACAGACTAGAAAAAATAGTATAGAATAGAACAGAATAGAACCGCATAGAAGAGACTATGAGATCAATTGAGATGACATAAAGACAGCATAATGTAAGATACGATGTTATCACAGAGTTTGACACAACATACTAGACTAGACCAAAATAGAAACGATAGAACAGACTAGAACATAGTAGGATGGAGCGGAATAGGATAGAACGGCACAGAATGGAGTCGTAGTACAAGATACAATAAGACAACGAAATGAAAGACAAGATGTTATATCAGAATTTCTACAGAACAGAGTAGAACAGTGTCGAACAAGGCCATATTTCCCTAAACCCTACTGTAAACCTTAAACCCTAAACCCTAAACCCTAAACCCTAAACACCCAAACCCCCACTTCGGCAGAAGCGGCTAGGTACTCCGGCTTCTTCGCCTTAGAGACCCCGCCAAGCGCAGTTTGGGGTTTCGGCTGGTTACTGCCCCCATACAGTAACAGTCTTTCATAGGGCTACTATTAAGGGCCTAATATATCCATAATATAAATATTATCCAACTGTTACTGAGTGGAGGCAGTACCCAAGGTTTCGGGTTTGAGGTTTCGGGTTTAGGATGTGGGGATTGGGGTTTAGGGCTTGGGGTTTAGGGCTTGGGGTTTAGAGTTTGGGGTTTAGGGCTTGGGGTTTAGGGTTTGGAGTTTAGGGTTTGGGGTTTAGGGTTTGGAGTTTAGGGTTTGGGGTTTAGGGCTTAGGGTTTATGTTGCTGCGGGCGATCCCGACGAGATACACGCAAGGATCTCTACAACGGACTATCGATAATTTAGAATCTAGCTTTGCGAGTTTAGGGTTTGCCGGGTGCATACAAACTCCATATTGGGGATAAGGACTTACAATAAAGTATGTTATTGTCGTCTGCCTGAGGTTGTTCTTGAGCTTTAAGGTCTACGGTTTGTTGTGTTTGGGACTTGAAGGGGGCGTAGTGCAGATGCTGGTTGTACATGGGTAGTTGTCAAAATTAGGGTCCCTTTTGGGGTACCCTAAATAATAGGTGCCGTATTATAATAAGGACCCAAAAAGGGACCCTAATTTTGACAACCACCCACATGGACTTAGTCTGTATTCTTAGTTGGGTATATCGGCATCCGATAGGAATCATGTGGCGGATTCCCACGCCCAATTACTCCAAAATGGATAACTCAAGGAATCATTACTCCTTGGTTTTGGGGAGCGTACAAGTATGATTAAGTATTCAAGCCCCTAAACCTTACCTGTAGCCGAAAAGACCTTTAGGGTTCCTTATTGTGATTTCTAGTATATAGGGTTTGGGGTTTAAGGTTTAGGGCTTAGGGCTTACAGGGTTTAGGGCTTTGGGTTTAAGGCTTGGGATCGAACCCAACATTCCCCGACTCCACAACCACCTCACTGGACACAACTCCGGACTCCGAAGCCTGCTCGCCCCCCTTGCTTGAATTTGTTTCCTAATGGCCTACAGTGGGAATCTTCATTTCTTCGGAAACCCCTTTCCCCGTTCGTGCCTCGGTAGTATAGGATCGGAATAAATACTGAAAATTTCCCATATACTCCCCATCTAATTACAGTAGACTATACCCCCAAACCCTGCCTAGAGGCTCCAGATACCTTACCATTAGGGTTTAGGGTTTAGGGTTTAGGGTTTAGGGTTTAGGGTTTAGGGTTTAGGGTTAGGGGGGCTCAAGAGGATTTTCACTTAGATGGGTTCTTGTAGGGTTTAAAGGGTTGTTAACCTATCTCTTATAGGGTGTCGGGGGGTTTTCAAGGCTTGGAGTACCCTAAACCCTAAACCCCTAAACCCCAAACCCCTAAACCCCTAAACCCTAAAGCCTAAAACCCTAAACCCTAAAACCCTGAACCCTAAAACCCTAAAAATGCTAAATCCTTGAACCCTAAAACCCTAAAACCCTAAAGCCTACAGCCTAAACCCTAAACCCCTTAACCCTAGACACCTAAACCCTATACCGGATGGCGGCTTCGGGGGTTTGGGCGAGTTCATGCGTAAAAGCCACCGCCAGGATCCTACAAGGTCCTACAATAGTGGCCTCAAAACATCAGCACAGCCCAGAGGAGGCTCCATCTTGTACCATTAGGGTTCAGGCTTTAGGGTTTAGGGTTTAGAGTGGAGCTGATAAGGATGGCCTTTTGGGACTTAATTCCATAAACCCTAAACCCTAAACCCCTCACAACCCTAAGGCCCTGAAACAACTCCCCCTTGTTGTCAGAAACTCCCCTCGACAGGCCCGTTATCCTATAGAGGGTTTAGGGTTTAGGGTTTAGGGTTTAGGGTTTAGGGTTTAGGGTTTAGGGTTTAGGGTTCAGGGTGTAGAGGCAAAGCTGCTATATATCGGACCCTACACCCTAAAACCCTAAACCCTAAACCCTACACCTATAACCTAAAACCCTGAACCCCAAACCCTATAACCTCTGATGGCTGGAGGAAAGCGGCCTTAATGTGAAGCACGTCGATGTCGCCACGGACAGCACTCCTGAGAATTCGAAGAAAGTCAGGCATCAAGCAAAAGGGACGTTCCGCCAAGGGAAGGCATTATGGGTTTAGGGTGTAGGGTTGAGGATTTAAGGCTTTAAGGTATAGGGGTGCTAGAACTTGTGTGTCAAGCTGTGCACATGGTTGTCGCTAGTTTCACACACTCCAACCAGCCTCTTCCGACATGGTGCAGGCACAAAAGTGGGTATCTAGCCACTCCAAATCCAAAAAAACAACAGCGAACAGCAACGACAACGACGACGACGCTCATAATCACAATAGCAATGACAACGACCTCCACAATGACCGTCGCCAACGTGACGGCAACAGCAACAGTCATAATGTAATAGTGCCTGAAAACACTTCAAAACCCGATTCAAAACAAATGCTCATAAGACCCTATGTTGTAATGTTTAGCAGAGCCTGGGGGACATCGGAGCAATGACATTCCCTTGCAGTCCGTGCATTAAGAAGACCATAAAGCGCCCTCAAAGCCTTCCCTATTTATCGAGGCCCCCATGTTAACTCGCATGAACCTTATTCGAAACCTTATCAAAGAACACTGTTCTAACTGGCAAGGGGCCCATATTTCCAGAGGCAACCCTGAACCCTGAAACTGCAAGCCAAACAATTCCCAACCCTAATCCCTAAACCCTACACACTCAAATCCGAAAATACACCTTAAACCCTAATCCCTAAAAAAACCTTGAGGCCCGAAAGCCCTTGTAGCAACCCCTGTAGTTGCGAGTTAGGATTAAGCAGACCCTTGGGGATATAGACCCTCTCTAGGGTCTCCCTCTTACTACCTAGGAGTAGTAACCCCTATAGTAACCCTTCACCATAGAATCCAAACCCTGAAGCCCTAAACCCTGAACCGACTAGTAGTAACCCCTAGAGTAACCCTTCAAGGAACCCTAGACCCTAAACCCTAAACCCCTAAACCCGAAACCCTAAACCCTAGACCCTTCCATGATATCGACTCAGGCTCTTTGTTTCGTTGACTTGGGACGCGAAGGAAGTGCTTCCATCGACAGATCTGTAGTGCAAGTAGATCACTTCCCTCACAGGGCTTAGAGTTTGGCATGTCTCTCTCTCTCCACTGCGAGGAGCCCGAAGTCTGAGGGAAAACTCGCAGGGTTTGGCATGTTTCGGTGTGGAGCTTTAGGGCCCTAACCCTAAATCCTGAACCCTACATTTGTGAGGGTCTAGGCTTTTAGGTTCAGGTAGCTTTTGGCTCAGGGTTACAAAGTTTCGCGACTTGTGGATCTAGGTGTTCTGGGTGAGAGCTTCGGTCTAAGATTGAAACCATGGGCTCCTAGTATGGGCCCTTAACCCTGGGACCCTCAAATACCTACTATATACGCTATATGTACCCTTAAGGGTCCCTAGAAAGGCCTAAGGGTCCATACTAGGGGCCCATGGGTTCAACCTTAGATTCGGGACTTGGGGGCTCTACGGTTGAGGTCCTCCTTGAAGGTGCGGAGATTTTTGTAGTTATCTTGTGCCTAAACCCCCCAAAAGTAAGTACAATAACGGCCCAAGACCCATAAAAGGCCATTATTCTACATGCTTTTGGGGGTTTAGGTAGTTATGATACCCATCACAACGTGTTGGTGCTTTTGCCATGTACAGCTCTCGCAGCTGTTGATATTGATGCAATTGCTATCACCATGTCTGGCCTAGTGCTGTTGTTATCGTGACGACGAGGACACTGATGATGTGCTCGGCATTTCATCGGTAAGCACAGGCCTAAACGGATGCGACAGCTCCAGCGTCGAATGCAAGAGGCTGGTGTTGCTGTGCAAGGTTGCCACTGCCAGGGTAACCTCGTACAGGGCATCAGGAATGGCAGCAACAGGCCCTAAACCCCAAACCCGAAACCCTAAAAACGGCCCCAAACTTACAAAACACTACACCCTAAACAAACCCGAGACAGGGCGCACTTCAAAAGGAAACTCCTTCCTTTCGCCCATGGCTTTCAGACGAGTTGCGTCCTCCAGGTTTGTGAAGATGTTGCTCAGAGATCCATGCTTGATGTACACACCAGTGGACACACCTCAGCCGGGAGAGGAAGCTCCAGATACTGAGAAAGAGACAGAGAAAGAGAAAGGGACAGGAGAGAGAGAGAGAGAGAGCCACCCTAAACCCTAAACCCTAAACCCCCTGAACCCTGAACCCTTGTGGCTGCAGCACACCCAAAACATGACAGGAAGTCACATGGACTGCTTCCTGCCGACTGCATGGATGAAGTCAGTTGGGTTTAGGGTTTAGGGTTTAGGGTTTAGGGGTTTAGGGTTTAGGGTTTAGGGTTTTAGGGTTTGGGGTTTGGGGTTTAGGGTGCTATGTCCTGGGGTTTAGGCTTTTGGGATCGCCGCATACTATCTAGTCACTGAGATTATTGGCATAAGATTTTCAAGCACACTACCAATATTGGCACTATGTACATGTCACAGCATCTGACTCCTGGAAGCAACGCATTGCCTCAGAAGCACCTCAACAGCTTGAAGCCAAGCGGCTCGAATTCATCAAGGTATTCCCGAAGTTTCCTGATTGGGTTTATGAGGCTTGATTTGGAGCCTTCTTCTGGATTCGGGTTACGGGGTCGAGGGGTGTAGGTTGTAGGGACTTTGGCATTGGAGTTTGTGGATTTGGGAGAGGCGGCGGGGGGGAGGCGGCCGAGGGGTTTCGGGGGGTGCAGTTTAGGGTTTAGGGTTTAGGGTTTGGGGTTAAGGGTTTAAGGACAAAATATGCTTAATGCAATTCGTGCCGTGAACCTCTTCTGCAAACTCTGGGGCTTAGCGTAGGGCAACACCGATCCTCGCAACACTCGTCAGTCATACAAGAAAAGAGCCGATCATGTGGTTTGCAACTAGAGACATTGCAAACATGCAAAACCAGCATCGCCACCGCCATCACCCTCACCGCCGCCATCACGATCACAAGCACGACTATCATCTACATCATCATTACCATGGCCGCCATTGATTAACATTGGAAGCTCCGACAGGGTTGACCGCAACAGACCAAAGACGGCGAAGCGCAAGCCTGTTCTAGAGTCGAAAACTGATCCGGAGATGTCCATGCCGGCTGAAGTAGTCAACGAAAGGCTGAAGTTTCACAGGAATGACATGTCCTGCTTTCGCTTGCTATAAGGGGTTGCCATATATACAGTTGGGCGCATGCTGGCCTGAACCCTAGCCCCAATAGTACACGGCTCCATGGAGCAATTCAATATCCGACTCTGCAAACCCTAGTGTTCTCGCCATCGTTCCCGGAACAACCACAATGTGTATCATTACTGATTCATGTACTAGCAAAAACACTCACACTAGTAACAGCAATCATGCTGACGACGGCGATGCTGATGATGCTGACGATGATGCTGATGATGCTGATGATGCTGCTGATGGCGATGATGACGATGATGACGGTGGTGACGATGATGATGATGATGGTGATGATGACGATGGTGATGATGATGATGATGATGATGAAGCTGATGATGATGATGATGATGATGATGATGATGATGATTTTAGAAGAGGAATGATATCTCTATGATATACCATATGCCGTTCTATAAGCTGCAGGCATGGCTCCCACCAAGATCGAGTCGTCCTGAAGCCGTGAGAAAGCGGGTAACGGCAAAAAGCAAGAGGCCTATGTCGAAAGGTTTAGCATTTAGGGTGAATGGACCACCGCGATGATGACACCAACGGAAGTAGCAACGACACATCTGTAGGTTTACCCCTAAACCCCAAGCCCCAAAACCCTAAAACCCGTAAACCCTGCTAAGCAAAGAGTCTATATGAAACCCTACTTTAGCAGCTCCTGCTTCGACCAAAGCACCCGAAGTCGATGCCTGTAACCCCAAGGCTCCAGGTGCTCAAGTAGCCGGGCATTGGGTTTAGGGTCTAGTGTTTACGGTTTAAGGTACCCCTAAACCCTAAACCCTAAACCCTAAATCCCTAAACCCTAAACCCTAAACCATCAATCCAAAAACCAGAAACCATTCAGAGAGAAATCGCTGCATCCTAAAATCCTACTTTTGGGCACTTGGACCTTGGGGCACCGCGAATTCTAAATCCTAGGCTTTAGGGTTTACGGTTTAGGGTTTAGGGGTTAAGGTTTAGGGGTTTAGGGTTTAGGGGTTTAGAGTTTAGGGTTTTGGATTTAGGGCGTTAGGGGTTTAAGGGTTTAGGGGTTTAGGGGTTTAGGCTTCCGTAGTAAATCCTAGGCACTCAGCTGCATCTGCGGCTTCTACGGGTTATACGTTGGCTTTGGATAGGGCTCTATCGGGTTATCATCTGGGTCTTTGAAGGGCTGTGGTAGAGCTTTCATAGGGATTGCTAGGGTTATCAGCTTCAGGGGAAGGCCTGCATGATGATTTTACTCGGGCTCGTGGTCGAAACAGTGACTACGACTCGCGGCTTCCGAGGACATTGCACGAAACCACAAACCCTTAACCCTATTCTCTGAAACCACCTAAACCCTAAACTTCTTAAACCCTATACTTCTTAAACACTTCTTAAACCCTAAACTTCCTAAACTCTAACCTTCCTAAACCCTAAACTTCCTAAACCCTCTACTTCACGTCCTAAATCCTAAATCCTAAACCCTAAACTTCCTAAACCCTAACCTTCCTAAACCCTAAACTTCCTAAACCCTAAACCCCCTAAACCCTAAACCGTAAACCCCTTATAGATCACCTTATGGAGCCCTTATAGATCCCTTTAAAGGAACCCTAAACCCTAATCTAACACACCAGGCCTTGTAGGGATCCTCACCCGAAGGCACCAGCCTCTGATAAGCGCTGGCCGCGTCTGTCAAGACACCTGCGCAGCAGATGCAGGAAAAGGCTGGGAAGCAAGAGCTTAGGGTTTAGGGTTTAGGGTTTAGGGCTTAGGGTTTAGGGTTTAAGGCTTTGGGCTTGAGCTTAGGGTTTAGGGTTTAGGGTTTAGGGTTTCGGGCTTAAGGCTTAAGGCTTAGGGCTTAGGGCTTTGGGTTTAGGGCTTAGGGTTTAGGGTTGGTCAGATGCAGGACAAGGGTGGGAAGAAAGAGATTCTCAACTTTTTGCGGATATACTCTTGAGTCTTTAAGGGTTGCTGCAAGCTATTTGATGGACTCAAAGAAGAAAATCTCTCAACTTATTTTGGTAAGACTCTTGAGTCTTTAAGGGTTGCTGCGGCTATTTGATGGACTCAAGGAAGAAAATCTCTCAACTTTTGCTGTTAAACTCTGGAGTCTTTAAGGGCTGCTGCAAGCTACTTGATGAACTCAAAAGGAAAATCTCTCAACTTCTGCGGTTAGACTCTTGAGTCTTTAAGTTTTGCTGCAAGCTACTTGATGGACTCAAAGAAGAAAATCTCTCAACTTCTGCGGTTAGACTCTTGAGTCTTTAAGGGTTGATGCAAGCTACTTGATGGACGCAAAGAAGAAAATCTGTGAACTTTTGCGTCTTTAAGGGTTGCTGCAAGCTACTTGATGGACACAAAGAAGAAAATCTCGCAACTTTTGCGCTTAGACTCTTGAGTCTTTAAAGGTTGCTGCAAGCTACTTGATGGACTCGAAGAAACCCTCCGCCGAGACCCTAGGGACGAAATCCTAAGGGCCGAGACCCTAAGGGCGGAATTTGCCTTGTGCCTTGTTCGTGGATTGTTGCCTTG